CGGACACACAGCACCTGAAAGTTCTTGGAGTTCGATGGGATCCTACTACGGACATGTTTTTCCTGTCCTGCTCCCTTACGAAACCTTCACCAATAACCAAACGGACAATAACTAGTGCAATAGCGACGGTTTACGATCCACTTGGACTATTCGTTCCCCTGCTACACAATGCAAGAGTATTCCTCCAGCGACTATGGAAAGAGCAATATGATTGGGATACTCAAATATCGCCCGAAAGAGCGACTGAATGGGAGCAAATTCAGAACAATACGTATGGATTTCAGATAGAACTGCCGCGATTCTTAACCCCTAAGGCTAGCGAAGCAATACTAGTTACTTTCGCCGACGCTAGTACCACTGGAATGACAGCCTGCACATACCTTTGCCAACCGCATCAGATGTCATCACACCTGCTTATGGCAAGATCGAAGCTGCCGTCAGTACAGGGACAAGCTACAATACCCAAACTGGAGTTGAATGCAATAACGCTAGCAATGCGCCTCAGCAATTCAATATTATCTCAGCTAGAAAAGGTGCTCAAGATTGGCAGGGTGTACATTTTCTCCGACTCCGAGATCGTGTTGAATTGGGTCAAGAGGGAAAATCAGCGAGAGCTGGGAGTATTTATACACAATAGACTGTTGGAAATACGTCGCATAGTTGAACACCTAACCAAGAAAGGGTGTCGCATCATGTTTGGGTATGTAGCATCAGAAGATAACCCGGCCGATTGTGGCACAAGAGGTCTTACATCAGACGAGATGAAGAATCACTTCTGGTGGACAGGACCGGGGTTTCTTCGAAAACATCAGAAAGACTGGCCAGCGCATAATAGGTTATTTTACGCACCGCAGTGTGACGGAGAGGAGACCGCGCAGGATTCAACGGAAGAAGCTCCACAACGGACAATTTTCACCGCCACAATACCAACACCAACGTCAGCTTCGGATGAATTGGAAATAATCAAGCGAGGTCATGTAGGGACATTCACTCAGGCAAAGCGAGTACTGGCCCATGTGCTAAGGTTCCTGAGTGCTCTCGTTGAACGAGTTAACGGAAAGGGAAGGAAAGTGACTGTAGCAATACTAGAGGACACCACAATATCACGAGAGTCCCATTGCTTGAATGGAAAAGAGCTCGAATTCGCTGGTCACCTTTTTATAAGGCATCATCAAAGAGTGAGAGTCACCAATAACATTGTAAAGTCCCTCAAGTCCCTCAATGTGCGTCCAGATGCTGAGGGTATTTTGAGATGCTATGGACGACTGGGTCATGCCAAAATGAGCGTGGGAACGAAATACCCAATATTTGTTCTACAGAAAACTCTCCTGGCAGAGTGGATTATCCAAGAACACCATTGCAGAGGTCATCCAGGGGTCAGTCATACGATGGCCCTGATACGTCAGGAATTTTGGATTCCTCAGTTACGCTCACAGGTCCAGCGAATCGTGCGGAAGTGTTTTCAATGTCAAAAATTCAATAACCTTCCGTACCAATACCCTCTCCAAGAAGACTTGCCAAAGGAGCGAGTGGTGCGGTCATGTCCCTTCAGCCACATTGGACTGGACTACTTTGGCCCCCTAACCATTTCGCTCACGGATGGGAATGAAGGAAAATGCTACGGTTCGATAGTAACGTGCATGGTGACACGTCTGGTTCATTTGGACGTGGTAACAGACCTCTCCACGACAGCCTTTCTTCAAATGTTACGTAGGTTCTTCGCCAGACGAGGGATACCAAAGTCAATAGTAAGCGATAATGCGCCCACGTTCCTTCTGGGTGAATCTATACTGCGGGACAGCATTCAAGCGGCGCAGAGAGACCCTTCCGTAGTAAAGAACCTGAGCGATAGAGGGATTGAATGGAAGCACATAACACCGTTTGCCCCATGGCAGGGTGGCTTCTACGAAAGACTCATAAAATCAATAAAGCAATCTCTCTATAAAACCTTAGGTAGATCAATAACGACATACGAAGAACTTTCGACAACGATAATCGAGATAGAGTCACTTATCAATACACGCCCGCTCACATACATGGGCAACGACATAGAGACAATGGAAATTCTACGTCCAATAGATTTCCTTCAGAAGGACATGGAGATCCAGTTACCGTTACTGAACTTCGCGGATGAGCAAAGCGATCCTGATTACATTCCATCCGCAGACATACCAGCTTTGATGACCAAACAGCAAACAATAGCAGCACTGCAAACATCGTGCAAGCGTACGGAGAAGTATTGGGAACTCTGGCAGTCTCAGTACCTAACCAGTCTGCGGGAAAAGCACACAGTGACTGTGGGGACAAAACGAGGTTGCGTACTAACTCCGCGTGAAGGTGAAGTAGTATTAGTATGTGACCCAGTGGTTCCGCGTCATGCTTGGAAAATGGGAATGATCGATAAATTAGTAATGAACAACAAAGGGACCATACGAGAAGCCATAGTCCGACTACCGACTCGACGTTTGATTCGACGACCGGTAAACCTGTTGGTTCCCCTTGAACTGGAGGAAGACGGTCAAGATTCAATACCTTCTCTCAACGACAAGGAACCAAGCACATTGTTGCGAACAGACCCTGACGAACGCCAAACGGCAAGGTACGACCTACGGACTCGCAAGAGAATCAATTACAACGAGAATAGCAATACCGTGGGCCGCAGCTCGCCAGTGTCGAGTATGTTCTTCTTCACTACGATAGTGCAGATGATACTGCTCTTGCTAATGATATACACCGGAAAAGCAATAGCCGTGAGTATGCCTTACGATAATTCGCAACGAGGCGTCATATGCACGGATAGAGGGGTACAGTTACACCTTCCGGGAAAATTTCCTTACGAAATTTGCGGAGAACATCACTGCGTTGAAGTAAAAGATCCAGAGGTGAACGAAACAATAACTTTTCCACCGGAAGTCATTCTGCACGAATATAAAGTGCGGTGGAAAATTTCACTCCCTCATTCAATAGAAACTTTCGAGAGTATCTGTCCTCCGGCGCCGTTTTGCCCATCAATAGATTGCACCTTTTGCAGTGCCAATATCTTCAACCCAGAGTGCTGGCCAGTTAGTGCAATATTGGCCACAGCTACGATAATATATTTCGTGGTGACGGGATGTTACGTTTTCCTCTACGTACCGCTCACCGTGGGTTGGCCCGTGAGATGTTTAGCAAGAACGATATGGTCGGTACTCAAAGCTATAGGAGGGCAAGCAATACGGATAGTACCACGCCGGAATAGAAGGACGGCTGCACGTCGTCGTCATCTCGCGGAAATTCTAGCAATAATTACAGCAATATCATCAGCAATAAATGGTTGTCAGTTGGTGAACATCTTCACCCATCAATCGACTGTATGCACAACGGACGACGCAACATCATGTGAGCTCCAGGTTTCAGAAGTTTTTAAGATCAACAGCTTCAAGAGAGAGGCTTGTCTGAAGGTTATCCAACAATGTCACTACACTGCAGGAAATCAGACTGCAATGGAAATCGTTACACCTTCAGTGCGAGCCGGTAACAGATTTCTTCACTAGGGATGCAGTGCATAGAGTCGTTGACAGTAAACGATGCGCACACATGGGCTCGTGCATCAACGACAAATGTGGGTCGATCAATGCATCAAGTCTCCTTCCCGAGTTGGAAAAAGGGAATCATTTCCCTGGCAATACAGCCTGCGTGGAATCGTGCGGTGGTCTAGGGATGTGATTGCCTTATCCCAAGCTCTGGATGCTTGTTCTACAGAGTCTATATGGAGCCCGTCGACAATGAGATCTACGAAGTTTTCCATTGTAACAGATGGACCGAGTTCGCTGAAGTAGAGCTAACGCATTTCGAAAGAGCTAAAGGTAAATCGTCAACAATAACGACTCGGCTAGTGCCCAATATCCCCATAAGGTGGAAATCGTTCAGCTTTACGCTCACTTCTCTGGGTATCCCTCCCATGGAACTTCTTAGATCACGATTTATCTCCAATTCAGCACGTACAGCAATATGGAACAATAATGCCCATCTGGCTTTGCAATGTCCTACGTATGCAGACGCGCGAAAACTCAACTGCTCCGTGTTTGACGAATGCGTATGTCTGCCAGCTGAGAACAGGGTGACTTGCAAATGCAGGGATTTTCCTCTTCATCCATGGGTCACTGACGTCAAGAAGCAGCTACCGGTCAATTTTCCTTCGCTGCTGCTTCAAAAACACGACACAGCTAGGGTCGAGGCCCAGGTGACCAACATGGTAACCTCGGAAATTATAATGAATTTTTCGGGACACGTAACACCAGAAATTGTAGTAGATGAGGCTCTTTGCAAAGCAGAAGCCTCCCTCTTAACCGGGTGCTACAATTGTGCGAAGGGCGCTGTTACCCACGTGACTTGCTACTCCTCTAGGAACAATATTGATGCCGAAGTAGTATGCGATAATGTAGGGTTCACAATACCATGCAATATCACAGGAATAACATCAATATTGCGCTTCAGTGCCACCAAGGCCCACACGGTAGTAACCTGCTCGATATCATGTGGGAAAATTATCACCTCCTTTGGAATCGCAGGTATACTGAAATTCACGGCATCCGCCCAAGGAATTATTGAGCAATGGCTCAGAGGAGAACCAACAGTCTACTCTGAGTTTGGATTCCCTGATTTCTTCCACATAGCCACGGTTTTCTTCCAATGGTACAAAACGCTTATTTCAGCAATAGTGGGGCTGATTATCGCGCTAGCAATAACTTATTTGTTCCTCAGCCTTTTTGGAGTTAAACTCCTGAAATGGACAATATTACTAATACCAAGATTACTTACTGGAGCAATAGGATATTTCCTCCAAAAGATTAGAAATTCCAACAAGAAACCAGGTTATAGGCACGATAAACAGCATTAAGAATTTGGAACCTCCTAGTAGTAAAAACTAGCAATATGTAGATAGAAATCAATATTTTATCAATATTAGCAATAGTAGATCAGTCTTCCACTGTTTCAGAGAGCTTCACGAGAGATATATCATGGCTCAAGGAGACGAGTACCTGAACAACCTTCGCTCTCTTGCCAACCTGTATAAAGAAAGAGTGACGGTAGAAGATATTGAGAATGAAATGACCACGACCCTCGGAGAAATCCACACTCACGTCAAAATGGGCAAGGCGTTGGATGCCCAATTGGCCCATCATATGCTGACTACAACCGGATCGACGTTCACAGGAGGAGAACTTGCTGTATCTGCTTCACGTCTCTGGAAAACGGCGACATATGCTAAGGAGCGACTCCATAGTTTCACTCAGCGATACATGCTAGTCGATGCGATCTACAGAATGAAGGTCGATGAAGGTAGATTTTCGGCAAGTAGGAGAACTGAGTGGCTGGAAGGCGACGATCATGACATAAAAGCATTATCTATGCTGGTTCAAATAGAGCTAAGACGCTTGGATCCGCAATATCACGGATATCGAAGACGAACTGACCCGTGCCGAAAAAATGGTACAGGACGAGAAAGTTCAGAACAAGGAGACTTTCGTGTCAGTCTTCAACAAGACAATAGAGAAGCTGGAAAAGAAGATCGACGACATCGCCTTGAATCTATCGAAACCGGCACAAGGCAAGAAACTGGATCATTCTCCACCGGTGAAAAGAAAGTGCTATCCAGAAGCTGAAGACCAACCCACAACCAGCAAGATGCAGGTAATCTCCGACGAGGAATATATGAGGAACCTAATCGAAGAATGTAGAGATGACGATGAGGCGTCGCCCGAGGTTGCTGAACGCAATACTGAGAGAGTAGAGCAAGATAAAAGAAGACGCAAGCACATTCAATATGAAGAGGATCGACTTCGAGAAGGACAACGTCGTCAAGAAGAAGAACAGCGTCGTCGAGAAGAAGAGCAGCGCCGCCAAGAAGAAGAACGTCGTTTGGCGGAAGAAGAACGTCTTCAGAGAGAGCAGGAGCGTCAACAATATCTTCACAATCTTGAAATGGAACTTGACGACCTATACAAAGGTCGCTTCCTGCTTCCTCAAAGGAAATTTGGTGAGATACCGGAGGAGCCAGTACGTGTGGAGTGTTCCTTCTGTGGAATATATGGAGACCACTTTTCGGATTCTTGCACATTTATCACAGATGGACGGGAACGTTACAATTACATCGATCAAGAAAGTCGTTGTAAATTGTGCCTCAGAAAAGGGCACGCGACCGAGGTATGTAGAGCGAAGGACCAGGAATGTTGGTACTGCGAAATAGTGCAAAACACAGCCTTGTCATTCCTTGTTGACAAACAGCCTCACCACAGAGCCATATGTTCTATCCCTGACTCAAAGGAACGCATCACTGCAAGGATCAGGTTGGTAAAAGAAGAAATCCATCGAGTGAAATACCAATAACTCGCCGCCCGGAGTGTAGCGAAACACGCTACGATTGTACATATGGTTAGAAAGCTTTTACTCATTCATTTCATTTATTGATTGCTTTTAGCTTGACTTTTCTTATCATCAGGCTGATCTAGTATCACATTTTTTCCAGATGTTTCTTCATTCCATCGCCTACGACGGGACGTCGCCGCATAAAAGCGCGGGGTTGCGATCGTTCGGGGCTTCTGGCACTAGCTTCGAGCTCTGGTTGAGACTCTGGTTATTCCTTCGGCCTTCAATCGCGCCGTGCTCTTCACCGACATCAATAACTACGGTCGTCCTGCCCTCAAGCGATTCTCTCAATAACGTCAGTACTAATATTTTCAAGATTCACTTTACAATAAACAATATTATTTTTCCTGTTTCTAGGTGTAGAAGCAATATTATCAATATCATCAATACGATCAATACGGCCTAGCAATATATCTGGGGAAGCTTCGTTTCGATCAATAAGCGTAGTAAGTGCATCAATATTTGGACCGGGGAAGCAATATATCGATAACACTGCTTTCAGGCAAGACCATCAATATTATCGATATAATCAATAACCCGTCCGTGACCTTATCAAGAAACCGCGTGGCCAGTGGATATCCTCACTGAAAGGCGAGCCGATTATTTCTCTACACTCCTGGAATCGTATATTTCGTCCGTCCAAGATGATTCTTTAGCAAAGAGTGTAGCTGACCTCTGGAAAGAGGCTGATCACGCTGCACGGTGGATCTGGTAGCACTTCTCAACTAAGCTTCGAAATCTAGAGACGTGCTATTTCCGAAACACGTGGTCTCGGTTGTCGTGTAGCGGACATATTTTATTGAATTTCGGGCGCCATAGTTGGAGCATGTACTTGCCCTGAGACGCAGGTGGATTCAGGGGATGGACTCCCTGTTTCTGTAGTGCTGTGTCGATTCATACCAGCTGTCTCCACTCAGGCGTATCCATGCATGCTTGCGTGTGTGGTGCGCTCTGTGTGTGCGGTTGGTATCCTGCATGTCGGCACAGCCAAAAGCTTGCATTCAAGTGACTGGGAAGTACATGGGAGGCGATTCGGGGCCGCCTCCAAAAATAAGCCCCTTGTTCCGCTCCAGGATAGCGTG